GATAAAGATGATGAAGATCATAATTATACACTTGGGATCGCTAACCAGTTCCAGCTGTAATTTGAAAATCTTATTTAACCTTTCGGCAGCTAACACCAACTTTTTCTCTAAGGCGTCACACCGGTCTCGGCAGTATGCCTTTCGTTCCAAATGTTGTCCACCTGCTGTATCTCGCACTGATGCCAGTCACTTAGAAGCCCCTTTATCAGCAGAGAAGCTTACCATAATCCTCAAACTCCTAAAACCTGGTAAGAGTCCTTGCACAGGCAGTTTATCTCTCCAGTACTACAAGTGCTTTCATCAGACACTTGCCCCTCAGTCTTTAGCAGACTTTAATTCCCTTGCAGACTCTCCCTCTCCCCCCTCCTCTCTATTGGAAGAACATATCACCTTGCTTCCTTAGGAGGGTAAAGTTACCACACAGGTTGGGAGTTACCGTCCAATATAGCTCATTAATTTTGACATAAAACTCAGCTCACATTTTGGTGAATAGGCTGCTTCCTTTCCGGATGACATTTTATTCTCTGCTCCCTGCTCTTCTCTACACACCCTGCTTGAGACTCTCCCCCAATTCCTATCTTTGTCTTATCTAAACTACTCTAAGTCTAATGCGTTTAACGTATCACTTGGGTCACTAAGGTGTTGTACTGTAATCAACATTTTCTGTTTACCTGGCATAACGATGCTATCACCCACTTGGGGATTCAGTTATCGGCTAACTTGTCTGACCTCTACAATCAGAATTTCTTACCTTGCCTGATGTATTTGTTTTAGACTATCCCTATCTTTATTCCGGTTTTTTTTTTTTTTTTTTTTTTTCGTCTTTGCGTTACATCATGCTTACCTTCCTATGGCAAAGGAAGACCCATCAGTTAAGCCCTGCTCTTTCTAAGTTCAGAGGCAGCAATGGCCTTTCTGATCTTAACCTCCCTGGCGGTATTCCTGAGTGTAGCTCGGGGTAAAGTTTCAGCATCACAAGCGGTAACCATGAGCTATGCTCGGGAATACCCTGCATCGCTACTCCGATATCTCTTCTTCACTTACCTTGTCCTGCGCTCCCGCAATGTCCCTCCTGCAGTGTCCCCTGTAATGTCCTCCGGCGGATGCCGGCATCTGTCTTCTGGGTTCCGTTCCCTGCAATGTCGGGACATGCGGGGGACTGAACTGGCGAGAAATTTGAAAGTTGTAAAAGTGACATTCACTAAATTCACTAAAATCACATAGTAAAACATTACTGTATCAAACCGTTTCACATACATTTTGTCCCTAGTGCTTTGTCCTGTGCCCTGCCTGCATTTTTACTGTTCTTTCTGCCTGGTAACTGAGAAATGTCCATGGCGTCCAAAGAGCATCCCTTTAGGTCAAAAGCGGTTTTAGACCAGCTAGAAAACAGCGATAGTAAATTAGAATCACTTGCAGAATTGAGTGATAATGATTAGTGGGGAAATTCGTCATCAGACACTGAAAACGATTTTGCGACTTTGCTCAGTGATGTGCGAACTTGGTGATATATTTCAAATTTCAGTGTTTTTTGTTTGATTATATTATTGAATTAAATTTATTATTATATATTTTTTATGATTCTTAATTAAATTAAAATTTATGATTTCCTGTTTCAAATTTTAACATACCCGGGATGTTTACTAGACTCTTGTTTGGACAGATTTCAGTGAGTTATTCCTAAAAATTACAGGCCAACAATAAAAAAAAAAATTCATATTTCCATGCAAAAAAATGTACTGCTTTGAGCACAGAAATATGGACATAATCAGACTGCTAGGGAGGTTAAAAAAACACCATTGAGCTTGCCATCTGGCAAGCAGCTGTATTCTTCTGTACCATTGGATACTCTTCTTTGGCTCTCTTCTCTGGCTTATTGTCAGCTCAATAGCCATCCTATCATCGGCCCTACGCTCAAGGTTTTTAACCTAGCATGCAATCCGTTTGTGATCTCCTTGATGAAGGACCCGCTGACAGCACTTTGCTTTAATCCGGACTTCCTTCCTGACCTTTCCAGACAATTTTTGGAGGAACTTTGGCCTAAACCTTACGTGTGCCGATCACTTCTTTGAACGGGGATGCTTCTTGGATAGGACAGTAGTGCCTGCTCTATCCTCGGACTCCTCGATACCTTTCAGGGTCTTTTTTCCAAGTTTGACACTTCTTACCTGCCTCCTTGATGGACAGGGGTCTTTATGCACAATCTCGCATTACTTTTCTTCACATGAACCAGGAATGCACATTATCTCTTTCATATATCCTTCCTTGTTCCTTCCATAATCTTCCAGCAGCTTGAAGCCGCTCTTGAAATGGGAAAAAAATCTTAATGTCTTCCTCACAGATGAAGAGTGTTCTAGTCTACAGCATGGTTCACAAGAGATCCCTGAAAGTGAATGTCCAAGAATGTGACTTTAAACTTCAAAAGTCTAGGGTATTGGTCTCCTTGCATGGTACACAAATCAACCTGGTAGTAACTGATCAGTGTTGGCGCTGTCGCACTGATGTGGGCTCTCTGCTTCACATCTGGTGGCAGTGCCGCATTCGGGATACCTTCTGGAAACACAGTCATACAGGATTACTGTGGCAGTCTCGAGCCTTCCTCTGGAGTTTACTTCTGTGCAGTATCATCTTCATCACTCTAGTATGCCTAAACGCCAGTACTTTGTCATTGACCATGCACATGCTCAATGCCGCCAGGCTAAGCGTCTGTGTTCACTGGAGATCCTCTGCACCTCCAAATGTGGTGAAATAGCTCTCTCACGTCATCAGCATTTTTGAAATGGAGTAATTGTTCCATGTTTCTCAGTACAGGATTTTGCACTTCAATATAATATGGGCGTGCTGGATTCTCTGTAGGAAAACTGCAGACTATGCTAAGGCGCTTCAAGGTGAGGTATGGGAGGCTTTGCCCCTTCTCCTCCTCCCCTTTGTTTTATGTAGCTTTGCCTGAACCCAGGAAGAGAGGATGTTTTGGGGTTTTGTTTTGCTCCCCCCCCTTTTTTTTATTCTCCTCTTCTTCTGGCTTCTCCTCTAGTCTTTTTGTTTGTATGTTCTTTTTTCTTTGACCAGATTTTTTTTTTTTTTGTTTTTTTTTTTTTTTCCCCCATGGGACCGTGACAAAATTCTGTTCCTTATTTCCACTTGATTAGGCAGGTGGCTCATAAATCATCTAGCCCTCGACTGTTGAAGTATAGTACGCAGGGCTGCTCACCTCTTTGGATTATTGGGCCTGTCTCATCTGCCTGCAGTCCCTACACAGCTTCCTGAAATGTTACTATGCACTTTGTCATTTTGATATGTTTGTTTTCTGTGTTACTTGTAATGCTCTTATTCTTTATGCCTTTATTGGGGGGAGGGGGGGGGGGGGGGGGGTAAATACAAATTCCAGTGTATATACCATAGTTTGGTTTGTGTGAATATTATAGCATCTACAATCAAGCAGAATACATTTTGGGCAATATTTATTAAGACATTGGAATTTTTTTTTTTTTCCATATGTTTCATAGCAGAAAGTAAAACATTTTTTTACAAACATTCTTTTTTTTTTATTTTGCCTAATTAAAACGTTTAAGAAAAAAGTGATTAAATACCTCACAAAGAAAGCTTATTTGTGTGAAAAATGTGGGTACAGTATTGCATGACCACACAATTACCAGTTAAAACAGCACAGTGCTAAATAGCAAAAAAAAAAATGGTCTGGTCATGAAGGGTAAAACCTTCCGGTGGTTAATCTAGAGCAGCGGTTCTCAACCTGGGGGGTCGCGACCCCTTTGGGGGTCGAACGACCATTTCCCAGGGGTCGCCTAAGACCATTGGAAAACACATATTTCCGATGGTCTTAGGAACCGAGACACCGCTGCTGTCTCCGGCGATGTGTGGGCGGGATGATACGCTGCTCCTGTCACCTGGCCACACCTCCGGGATCGCTCAGCAGCTCCGCCTCCTCGCCGCTGATTGGCCACCGGAACTGTAGCTCAGGAGAGGCACACAGGCGGCCAATCACCGGCGAGGAGGTGGAGCTTGGAGAGAAGGAGCCGAGCGGCAGCGCGCGTACATCAAAGAAGACCGAGGGAGCTGCCGGAGCGAGTGAAGAGGAGAGCGGCCAGAGAAGGAAGACAGCTGACAGGTAAGTGAGAGAGCGAGCCCAGGCTGGAGCAGGGGTCAGCAAAGTAAGTATCATTGGTGTCAGTGGGAGGAATAGTGCCCCATCATTTGTGTCACTAATACCAACGATGGGGCACTATGCCTCCCCCCACTGACACCAACGATGGGGCACTATCCTCCCCCCACTGACACCAACGATGGGGCACTATTCCTCCCCCCACTGACACCAACGATGGGGCACTATTCCTCCCCCCACTGACACCAACGATGGGGCACTATTCCTCCCCCCACTGACACCAACGATGGGGCACTATTCCTCCCCCCACTGACACCAACGATGGGGCACTATTCTCCCCCCACTGACACCAACGATGGGGCACTATTCCTCCCCCCACTGACACCAACGATGGGGCACTATTCCTCCCCCCACTGACACCAACGATGGGGCACTATTCCTCCCCCCACTGACACCAACGATGGGGCACTATTCCTCCCCCCACTGACACCAACGATGGGGCACTATTCCTCCCCCCACTGACACCAACGATGGGGCACTATTCCTCCCCCCACTGACACCAACGATGGGGCACTATTCCTCCCCCCACTGACACCAACGATGGGGCACTATTCCTCCCCCCACTGACACCAACGATGGGGCACTATTCCTCCCCCCACTGACACCAACGATGGGGCACTATTCCTCCCCCCACTGACACCAACGATGGGGCACTATTCCTCCCCCCACTGACACCAACGATGGGGCACTATTCCTCCCCCCACTGACACCAACGATGGGGCACTATTCCTCCCCCCACTGACACCAACGATGGGGCACTATTCCTCCCCCCACTGACACCAACGATGGGGCACTACTATTCCTCCCCCCACTGACACCAACGATGGGGCACTATTCCTCCCCCCACTGACACCAACGATGGGGCACTATTCCTCCCCCCACTGACACCAACGATGGGGCACTATTCCTCCCCCCACTGACACCAACGATGGGGCACTATTCCTCCCCCCACTGACACCAACGATGGGGCACTATTCTCTCCCCCACTGACACCAACGATGGGGCACTATTCCTCCCCCCACTGACACCAACGATGGGGCACTATTCCTCCCCCCACTGACACCAACGATGGGGCACTATTCCTCCCCCCACTGACACCAACGATGGGGCACTATTCCTCCCCCCACTGACACCAACGACGGGGCACTATTCCTCCCCCCACTGACACCAACGATGGGGCACTATTCCTCCCCCCACTGACACCAACGATGGGGCACTATTCCTCCCCCCCACTGACACCAACGATGGGGCACTATTCCTCCCCCCACTGACACCAACGACGGGGCACTATTCCTCCCCCCACTGACACCAACGACGGGGCACTATTCCTCCCCCCACTGACACCAACGACGGGGCACTATTCCTCCCCCCACTGACACCAACGACGGGGCACTATTCCTCCCCCCACTGACACCAACGACGGGGCACTATTCCTCCCCCCACTGACACCAGCGACGGGGCACTATTCCTCCCCCCACTGACACCAGCGACGGGGCACTATTCCTCCCCCCACTGACACCAGCGACGGGGCACTATTCCTCCCCCCACTGACACCAGCGACGGGGCACTATTCCTCCCCCCACTGACACCAGCGACGGGGCACTATTCCTCCCCCCACTGACACCAGCGACGGGGCACTATTCCTCCCCCCACTGACACCAGCGACGGGGCACTATTCCTCCCCCCACTGACACCAGCGACGGGGCACTATTCCTCCCCCCACTGACACCAGCGACGGGGCACTATTCCTATTCCTATTCCCCCACTGACACCAGCGACGGGGCACTATTCCTCCCCCCACTGACACCAGCGACGGGGCACTATTCCTCCCCCCACTGACACCAGCGACGGGGGCACTATTCCTCCCCCCACTGACGGGGCACTATTTCCTGACCCCCGGGGCACTACTCCCCCACCGACACCAGCGACGGGGCACTATTCCTCCCCCCACTGACACCCAGCGACGGCGACGGGGCACTATTCCTCCCCCACTGACACCAGCGACGGGGCACTATTCCTCCCACTGCAAAATTACAGGTATGAAGTAGCAATGAAAATAATTTTATGGTTGGGGGTCACCACAACATGAGGAACTGTATTAAGGGGTCGCGGCATTAGAAAGGTTGAGAACCACTGATCTAGAGCAACTGTCTCCAAACCGCATTCTGGGGGCCGCATCTGGCCCTTTGCTCTCCTTTATCTGGCCCTTGCGGCACTATTCTACCCACTGACATCAACAATGGCCTAATTCATGTCACTAACACAAACATTGGGGCACTATTCCTCCCACTGACAATCAAAATGGCACAATTCCTCCCACTGACACCAGCGATGGGCCACATTCTTTCCATTGATACCCACAATGGGCCACTATTCCTGACACCAATGATGGGGTAGATTTCCTTCCATTAGCAGCAATAATGGGACAGAATTCCTTCCATTGACACAAGTGATAGGGCACTATTCCTTCCATTGATGCCAACAATGGGGCAGAATTCCTTTCACTGACACCAATGATGGGGCAAAATTTCTTCCATTGGCACCAAGGTTAGGACTCTATTCCTCCCATTGACACAATTAAAAGGGCACAATTCCTCCCACTGACACCGTCAATGGGTCCCTATTCCTCCCACTGACACCAAAGATGGTTTACTCCCACTGGCCCTAGTCCGGCCCTCTTAAAATCTGGAGAACAGTAAATCGGCCCTTTGTTTAGAAAGTTTGGAGACCCTAATCTAGAGTGTCAGCAATTTGGCTGATTGATGTGCTGGTCTTGGATCATAGGGCCATTAAACTGGTTGTAAAGGCTCTAGATTTTTTTACCTTTGTGCAGCAGCCCTCGTCCTTCAATACTTGAGCCCCATCGTAATCCATCAATGTGTATGAGAGCCACGGCTCTCTGGGTGCTCTTCCTCATTGCTGTGAGGTGAGAGGGGGCAGGCTTAGCCGTGGCTCTCTGAGTGGCTGGACACGCAAAGCAGTGGCTTGTGAGTGAGCCTGCTTAGGTGCCCCTGTAACAGGCAGCTTGCTGTGGGAAGCACTCTGCAGGGGGGAGGGGCCAGGGGGGGTGGAGACCTGAGAAGAGGAGGATCAGGGCTGCTCTGTGCAAAAAATTGCCTATTATCATTTAAAAGCCTCATAAAATTGTATCTTGCACCCATTCTACAAAATGTTTCTGTAAATGAAAACTTCCTGATATGCTGTATTTCCCTCTAAGCACTTGCTGCCTCTGTTTCTTTTTGTAAGGGGATTTTATTCAAAATCGACTATTCCTACTGTGGATCTGTCAATTTCTCATGTTAACAACACTAGTACTATATTCTTGTTAGCAGGTCCTGCTATATACACCCTTTTCTATACTGTAATCTTGCTTTTGAGAGGGGACATATGATGCCCTTTTTGGCAGCCTAGCCATCCTAAGTTTTTCACTTCATTCCTCCCTTCATGGACCGTAAGTCCCTAAATGGGGCCATTAGATAATTGGCAGGCTCATCTGCATCTTCTGGTCCTTGGTGAGTGATCTTTGCCTCAGGAGATGTTTAGAACCTGTGATAAATGTGCAAAGAACCCTTTCTGGTCTTGCATAAGGACAAGGTGCTCATCAGGCCTATGCTTTCTTTTTTTTCCCCAGGGTATTCTCTGTATTCCACCTTAAAGAGGAGCTCCAGTTGTTCTTGTGTTTATTACGTCAGCAGCTATAAAAACTGCAGCTACTGACTTAATAAACACACACTCGCCTGTCCTAGGATCCAGCGATGTGCTCACCTGAGCCATCCCTTCTCTCCCTCTTCTCGCAATGGGGGCACTCAGAATGTGCCAAGAGGGCTAGGTGGGGGATGCCAAATGTGGATCTCCAGGTTCAACAACAGTCTAGACAAGTTTACAGATTATAGGTCCAGGGATCTGTGGGTGAAAACAGAAGACACTCTGGTGACTTTTTGGGATTAGTATACTCTAGGTTGTTTTTGTTGCGTCCACCACCATGGCCAAGCAAGTAACTAAACTGGCAGCTTTATCTTGCAAAGAACACTTTTTTGTCTTGCATAAGGACATGGTGCTCATCAGGCCTATGCTTTCCTTTTTTCCCAAGGTATTCTCTGTATTCCACCTTAAAGAGGAGCTACAGTTGTTTTGTGTTTGTCAGCAGCTATAAAAACTGTAGGTACTGACTTTTCATAAACACACACTCGGGGGCGCATGCGCGACCAGGGACGATGGCGGACACTTAACTGCTGAGCTCTGCTCATCTCTGGCCAGTACAGACTCACCCGTTCCCGCTTCTCAGCGATTCCTCCGCTCCGGGTGAGTCACATCCTATCAGCACCCGGCCCAGCATCAGGGAGAGGTTTCCACGGGGAAGATAGGGCACTTGAAGCCCCCCTCCCCGCAGCCACAAGATCCACGGCCCTCGCCGCTCCGGCGGTTCTTATCTCGGCCGCAATCCCCGACCTCAAGTAGTGTCAGGAATCCGAGGAACGATCCCGGGCCCCTAGCGGCCGCGGAGGGTACTGCACCCTGTTTTATTACCAAGGAGCTGACAGCCTCTGCTCTGATCCATCCCCAGATGGAGGATTCCGACTCCCAAGCCACGGCAGGAGGGGTTATGGACCACCCTACACCAGGGTATCTTCCATCTTCTAGTCAAAATCCTCAGCAGGCTACATCATCATCTTCGCTTACAATTTCTGCGCTGGACGATAAATTGCAAGTTTTTTTTTATGCAATATTACCATCTCCATATCCGCTGAAGTTGGTAAATTGGCCATGGATCTCAGAGGGGAAATAGCCCAGATTGGAGACCGCACGGATAAACTGGAAAACAAGTTTGATGAATTGGTGCAATACGTTCATGTCTTGGAGGGAAGATAACGCGTATCTGAAGCACTCCATGTCCCAAATGCAGCTCCAACAAGAGGACCTGGAAAACCGGGAACGGCGCCAAAATATCCGTATTCACGGTATGTACGAATCTTTTGCTGATGCACAATTACACCGCCACCTACTGTCCTTCATCACAACTGCTCCCATGGTTCAAGAGGCAGACTGGCTCATCGCTCTCTGGGCCCTAAACCTGTTGAAGGCACCAGACCACGCACCAGTCCGCTTCCACTTCTTTCAAAGCAAAGAAGCCTTACTATCAGCGGTTCGCCACAAATCTTCTTTGGAATTTAAAGGTGACAGACTCCAGCTCTTCTGCGAACTTTCCCCGATTACTCTTGCCAAACGGCGTGCTCTGAAGCCGATCACTACACACCTTCAGCAACATCGTGTCCCTTATCGTTGGGGGGTTTCCATTCAAGCTGGTCGTCTCTAAGGGCAAAACTCAAGTTGTTCTCCAGGATCTTCATGAGGCAGATTCTTTCCTAAAACAGCTGGGACTTCCACCTTTGTCGGAGGATGTGTCCTCATTGCCGCCTACTCCATCCCGTCCTTCCGCCACCCACAACAAGATCTGGACACCGTTCGCGGAGGTAGGAAGAGACTCTCGCCTATCCCGCAACGTCCACGTCCTTCTCGATCAAGCGATCCTCCTGCCTGATGATTCTCTGGGGTGACCTTCTGTGATGAATCTGGTGTTGATCCTTCCCTCCTGATCCATACATGGTTTCTATATCGTTTTTTTTCCTTTTGGCCGGCCAAACCCTTGTTGGGTGCATTTTTTGCTTTTGTTTCTCCTGGCCGAGTTTGACGACCTCCCTGATGTGATTTTTTTTTTTGTGTTATTTGAATGTTTTTGTTTTCTATTCTGTTTCATCGATGGTATTTCATCCATTTTTTCTGCTGACACATATGCTTCATTCATTATTATTTTGTGATGGCTTTGCTGCTTTTGTCATATAATGCCTCAACTCCATTCAAAAACGGTGGATGGCTTTGAAGAAGTTTCGATCCTCAGGAGCAGACGTTATTTTTGTCCAGGAGACCCACTTCAAATCAACTGGCTACTTTCGTTTTGCCTCAAGATTTTTTTTCCAAGCCTATTCGGCCTTTGATTCTTCCGGGAAGGCTGGGGTGGCAATTTTGATTAAGACAAAATGCTCCCTTCGGGTTGTTTCCACCAAGGTCGACCAACACGGTCGTTTCATTATTTTGTATGCTTGGTAACACTCCTCTTGTTTTGTTGAATTTGTACGCCCCGAATACAGGTCAATTGCAATTCCTTTCCCAAACACTCGCCAAACTTGGACTCCATTTCCACTTCGCATGTGATTGTTGGGGGTGATTTTAATTTAATTTTCTCCCCTCATAAAGACAGGAAAGTTTTGTTTGAGTCCACACCCTCAAAGCGGCAATGCTCCTCTTCTAAAGCCTTCCACAGACTGATAAGACTGATGCATGGTGGATTAGACATCCTCTACATAAACAATTTACATTCTACTCCACCCCTCACTGTAGTTTCTCCTGCCTAGACCATTTTTTCATCTCTGCTCCACTGCTTCCCCTCCTGGTCTCCTCTGATATCAACCCTATTACTTGGTCTGATCACGCTTCTCTGACCTTGAGCCTCTTCTTCCCTACTGTTCTACCGAAAACATGTCACTGGCATCTTAATGAGACCTTTCTTTCCACAGAACATCTTCGGGACGAACTCTCTCGGGGACTTGATACTTACTTTAGTCACAATATTGGTTCTGTAGCTTCTTCCTCGACCCTGTGGGAAGCTCATAAGGCGGTATTTCGAGGTCTCTGTATCTCCATGGGCTCCGGTTTAAAAAAGTCTTTCTCGAGTGCCAGGTCTTCACTTGTCCACCAACTGTCTTTGGCTGAACGACGTCTATTGGCTAAACCATCCATTTCAAGACTCCAGGGGGTAACATCTCTCCGTGACCGAATCAAAGCTCTTGATTCCAGTAAGTCTGCACAATCCCTCCTTTGGGGATTTTACGAATTTTCTAATAAACCTCACCGTATGCTAGTCAATCGAC